ATTAAAGCACCACACTCATTGTGCAGTGTACAAATAAGATATATAGGTCAATGAGATCATTAAAGTACCACACTCATTGTGCGGTGTACAAATGAGATATATAAGTCAATGAGATCATTAAAGTACCACACTCATTGTGCAGTGTACTAATGAGATATATAAGTCAATGAGATCATTAAAGTACCACACTCATTGTGCAGTGTACTAATGAGATATGTAAGTCAATGAGATCATTAAAGCACCACACTCATTGTGCAGTGTACAAATGAGATATGTAAGTCAATGAGATCATTAAAGCACCACACTCATTGTGCAGTGTACTAATGAGATATGTAAGTCAATGAGATCATTAAAGTACTACACTCATTGTGCAGTGTACTAATGAGATATGTAAGACAATGAGATCATTAAAGTACCACACTCATTGTGCAGTGTACTAATGAGATATGTAAGACAATGAGATCATTAAAGCATCATACTCATTGTGCAGTGTACAAATGAGATATATAAGTCAATGAAATCATTAAAGCACCACACTCATTGTGCAGTGTACAAATGAGATATGTAAATCAATGAGATCATTAAAGCACCACACTCATTGTGCAGTGCACAAATGAGATATGCAAGCCAATAAGATCATTAAAGTACCACACTCATTGTGCAGTGTACTAATGAGATATGCAAGACAATGAGATCATTAAAGTACCACACTCATTGTGCAGTGTACAAAAGAGATATGCAAGTCAATGAGATCATTAAAGCACCACACTCATTGTGCACTGTACAAATGAGATATATAAGTCAATGAGATCATTAAAGCACCACACTCATTGTGCAGTGTACAAATGAGATATATAAGTCAATGAGATCATTAAAGCACCACACTCATTGTGCAGTGTACAAATGAGATATATAAGTCAATGAGATCAATAAAGCACCACACTCATTGTGCAGTGTACAAATGAGATATGTAAATCAATGATATCATTAAAGCACCACACTCATTGTGCAATGTACAAATGAGATATATAAGTCAATGAGATCATTAAAGTACCACACTCATTGTGCATTGTACTAATGAGATATGTAAGTCAATGATATCATTAAAGCACCACACTCATTGTGCAATGTACAAAAGAGATATGCAAGTCAATGAGATCATTAAAGTACCACACTCATTGTGCAGTGTACTAATGAGATATGTAAGACAATGAGATCATTAAAGCACCACACTCATTGTGCAGTGTACAAATGAGATATATAAGTCAATGAGATCATTAAAGCACCACACTCATTGTGCAGTGTACAGTGTACTAATGAGATATGTAAGACGATGAGATCATTAAAGCACCACACTCATTGTGCAGTGTACAAATGAGATATATAAGTCAATGAGATCATTAAAGTATCACACTCATTGTGCAGTGTACTAATGAGATATGTAAGTCAATGAGATCATTAAAGCACCACACTCATTGTGCAGTGTACTAATGAGATATGTAAGTCAATGAGATCATTAAAGCACCACACTCATTGTGCAGTGTACAAATGAGATATACAAGTCAATGAGATCATTAAAGCACCACACTCATTGTGCAGTGTACTAATGAGATATGTAAGTCAATGAGATCATTAAAGTACCACACTCATTGTGCAGTGTACTAATGAGATATGTAAGACAATGAGATCATTAAAGCACCACACTCATTGTGCAGTGTACAAATGAGATATACAAGTCAATGAGATCATTAAAGCACCACACTCATTGTGCAGTGTACAAATGAGATATATAATTCAATGAGATCATTAAA